TGCTCCTTGTGTGTCACTGGAGGGTAGGAACTTTTTTCTTAGCCGTTCCTAGCATTTATAGCATCAACGGGCAGAGGCTCTCGGGGCAAAGAAGGACACAAAGCTAGGTAACAGACAGTAGGGTTTTGCAAGCAAAGGCCGTTGTGGAAAAAGGAAACGAGGGATGACAATCAAGGTTCAAATACATCAAGAGAATGAATTGTGATGGGAAGATGAAGAAAAGCAAAGACAAGAATTGTTTAAACCTTTCATCCTTTACAGAGTACTTCTGGGGGGAGTTGAGCTCCCGTTTCAGAAGTGTTCTGAAGCCTACTATTGGGGCAGTAATACACTGAGGTATTAGGGGAGTTCTGTGTTTCCTTAGGTGACTGTAGAGCTCAAAGGAGTCTGCATTAATATATCTGGCTTCAAAGTCATCTAATAGAACTACTCTGTGGTTGGTGTGGTGAAGAACTTCCCAGAAATAGGCAAATAGCAGAGGAAGATGCCTGAAAATTGTTGATCAAAGAGTTCAGAATAACCATAAAACACTTCTTCAGGTTTCACCATACATGTCTTTGACTCAAAACCATGTGTAATATTAACTTTACTCTTTGCAAAGATGGCAAAAATATTGTGGGGTAGAAATATTTAAGGGTGTTCTGTCCAAATAATTTAGTAAAATCTCTTAAGATATATCTACGGAACAAGAAATTTATTTGCTGGCTTTTAATTCTGTCGGTTTACTTTCCACAGATTCAGCCATTTAGCAAACACTGCAATTAAAGGCAACATGGTTCTGTTCAGTTGCTAATTATTAAGGACACAGACGCTGAAAAGGAGTTAGCAGAGTCCATGTTCTCTTTTATACGGCTCTGCTCAGATTGATTTAACTAATTATCAAGTCACATACTAATTCTTGTGACAAAAGTTTTTTACTTAAACATTCATGAGGCTCTTATGCAGTTGAGAATGCACTAGTTTGTCGTGCTTCCAGAAAGATCTGTAATGCAGTAGCATATACTCAACAGGATATTAAGTCATAAATTACAGTAGAAATTACGACTAATGGTCTAATCCATGTGGTGAAGCAAGATTTGAATTTGTTCCTATTTGTAAGTTGTCCCTTAATAGCACTAAAGTTGTGGTAGTGTTATGTTAAGGAAGCAGTACTGAACTGGAAAGTTCTCTGTTCTTACTGTTTTATGTCTTCTTCCTTAAAAACTGTCTTTTTGTGTGTGTACACTTCTGAATGAATTATCTCAAGGTGTAGCCAAATGACCAGCTGAGTGGAGGGTGAGAACTTAGCTTGAAAATCTAAAAATGTGGTGACATCTGTTGGAAGTAGTAACTTTCAGAGAAGCTTGCTGTTTCCCTCTCTGTTGTTGGCAGATTTAAAGCAGAGGCAACACTTTTTTCAGGGCCCTGCCAGGATGTTTTTATTGGCCTTTTACTTTCAGGGGACAGTCTTGTTTGCATCTCCAACTCACAGATATGGAGCATGCTGATAAAGACGAACAGTCATCTCTCAGTTACAGCTCTGTGTTTCCTCTGCGTCCTTCTAAGAAATTTTTGGAATATTAATTGTGAGAAAAAAAAGTTAAGATTGAAGTACCTGGAATTGGGCCTTCTAGAGATGCCAAAACACATTAGGAAGTACTAGAAATAACTTCAAAAGGTATCCTGTTATCAAGAGTTTTTGGGTTTGGTTTTTTTTTTTGTGCTTGTTAGAGATTCCTGTCAATCTGACAAACACCAAAAAAGTCTGATAAGGACTTGAGGATTTCTGTAATTCATTACAGTCTGTGTGAATAAACAGCCAAAACCACGTGTCTGTGAGCTGTGATTCTCAGGAGTTTTGGTTTACGTACATACTGATGTGTGTTGTCTCTACATTGTAAATCCTAATTTTTTGAGTGTTTGCTTTTACTGAAGTTTTTATTTGCAGATCTGGCAGTTGTATTTAGGGAAGGACTTTGCTTTGTGTTGGTTTTGCCACATCACCTGTAGAAGGTTATGCCCTGGTATTATAGAGAGACATGAAAAATAATTGTTGAATTAGTTAATGTACACTTCGAGATCCTTTTGAAATCACTTTTCTCACATTGGCTTGTAAGTGTGAGAATACTTTAGCCATTTATATTTCTATCTTTTTTTCATAATTGGAGAATACCCAGTGATGTACCCTTGATAGTTGCTTCCAGTGACTTGACTTTTAGAGTTATTCAGATTCTGTTGGGTTTATTTGATACTGGCAAAATAAATATGTTTGCGTTTGATGTATTTTCAGGATTATATTCCTGTCATGCCAAATGACTATTTAGGAATGTAGTGCTGGTACAGTCTAGCATCTTTGATTAATTTGAAACATCTAGAACTGCCTAGGGTTTTCATTTCCTCACATCTGCTTTGGTTGCAAATTATTTGATCAGGAATTGAGGTAAAATGTCTTAGATACTGATTCCATACCAAATTCTGTACTAAATGGAAAGAACATGAAAGATCAGCTAGAACACTCTGAATTGCAGCATATTCATTTTAACTAAGAATCCTGCTAGCAAACAAGCTAATTCTATTGATGTTGTATTAACAGGTTCTGAAGCTTTTTAAATTATTACACAGAACCCGGCAAGAAGTTTTTAAAAATGATACCAGAGCCCTTGAAGGTGAGATACTTTTTTTGTGTGGTCGATGCTTACGTATCTTTCTGTTGAACTTTCTTCTCCGTATACACAGAAAGAGAATTCTTAACATAATCTTCCTTTAAATTATTCCCTTCCACATTTTATAAGTAATCATTGGGAAAACTTGTGTCCATAACCACACATCCTTTAATTTGAAACAAAAAACTGGTTGTTAGACTCAAGCACTCAAGACATATTTTTTAAGAAAAATATCTCTTTCTGGAACCTTGGTGTTTTTCCTGGTTTTTTTTTTTTTTTTAACTTCATCCCTTCAGTCCAGCCAAAGCATGTTTAATTGTACTAAGCATCTGAGTTGATTCTCTTCATGTACAGTTGCTCCTCAGGGGATAAATACTGCTTTTTTAGTAAACCAACTTTTAGTAGTGGCTTCTGTATGTTAGTTATTTTTAAAGCTCAGAATGCTAGATAGGCAGTCATATTTTATTCACTATGCCAGTCAACTTAAAATATGACATCACCTGAATTCCATGGAAATCTTATATTAAAATACTTCAGGCAGAGTGCACCAGGAAGGTGCTATAAAGCCCTTAGGATTCTGAGCTTTGAGGCAGTGACAAACACAAGGTAGAATTTATTGTTCACGCTTTAGTTTTTTTATTTACTTTATTTAGCTGCAAGACAAAAGATAAATGAAGAATTCAGAAATAACCAAGATGAGACATCTGAACAGAAGATAAATGAGGTACTTCTTCTTTTGATTGTTTTTTTCCACTTTGCGTAAGAATACTTACATAGGAGCTTTTTACTTAAAGGATCTCTGAAGCAATGTAATTATTTATTGAGACATTGTGAGAGCCAGATGAGTTTGAAAGGGCTTTTACATGGATCTTTGTTTATAAATGTATTGATGCTTCCACTGGTATTAATAGTATGTTATAGAATTTTGCACATACAAAAATACATAAGGAGAAAGTGTCTTCTGGTAGTTAAATATGCATAGTTTGAACCTTATAATAAAATTATGTAAAAAAATGTTTTATGTTGCTATTTTCATGTAAATATTTTGTATACTTTGCTCATAATATCTATTTGAGCTGTGGTCACTTAAGTTTACCTGGTCTTTGTTGTACAGGCAAGCACAGAAAGATACAGAGAAACTAAATAATCTGCTCAGTTACTGGCAGACATGAGAAGTTATTTTGATTCCTGATCACAAGTGAGGCAGCATCTTTTGTGGGAGGCAAAAAACAGCCAAATTATG